TCACTCCTGACTGGATAATGCTTTCCCTTCTCTTAAGTCAACGCCCATTTGCCCTCCAGCCAGTAACTTGCTCTTCCTTCCCCTTCCACTTCTGCTAGCTACCAAAGAATACTTCTTTTAACATAAAACCTTTTTTTTTTTTTTAAACTTTACAACAGTGTGGACATATGGGATTTTTGTCTGTTGTGTTGACTCTTGTGTCTCCAGTCCCTAGAACAAAAAGCATCTGTTTTTCAGTATTTTATTTATTAGAAATCAATAGGATGGAATATAGCTAACTAACTCGCTGCCATCAAATCAATGCTGATCCCTAGTGTGACCCCATAGGACAAGGTCTAACAGCCCCTGTGGGTTTCTGAGACTGTAAATCTTTACGGGAGTAAAGCAGCCGGTGGTTTCGAACTGCTGACCTTACAGTTAGCAGCCCAACACACCCATGCTGCCACCAGGGCGGGTGGTGTGCACACACATATTCATTCCCCCATAGGGCTGGGGTTGATGGGGTGATGGGGTGCCCTCTGGAGTTGAGTGTAGGGTGGTGGCCCTACACACACATGGAAAGAACATGTCTTTAATCGTACATGTGAAAGTGCTGATACACGGAGTGTCCAATGATTTTTTACTTTCTTTCATTTTACTAAACTGTATTGTGTGATTTCTCTGAAACACGGAGTGTCCAATGATTTCTTACTTTCTTTCATTTTACTAAACTGCATTGTGTGATTTTCCCACCCGGACTGCTTTTGTAGTAGAAAAAAACCCAAACAAACCCAAAGTGGCCTAAACCTTCCACTCCTTGGTGATAACTCAAAATGATCATGAAAGGAGAAAGGGGAAAGGTCACTGGCCCCAGTGCTTTTGCGGTGTGTGGGAGACAAATGAAGGACCGGCGGTGTCTGGATCGTTTTCTTCTTCAAAACCTTGCCAGTCTTTCTTCCCAAGCCCTACTACACCCAGGTTTGGACCTGTGTCATCTGTGACTCTCGGGCTTCAGCCCCGAATAGCACATGTAGCCCAACGGATCTCTCAATGGAAAACAAGCGGCCACCACGCCTGTCGATGCGTGTCCCACGGATGTGCCCCCAGCAGCAGGCCGTGTGGATGAATCGCTTGCACTCCACTCACTGAGCTGAGGCCGATTCATAGGGGCCCATGGGACAGGGTAGAACTAC